ATGCGTTCGCATGCGTTTATGCTGATATCATGGTTTTTGATTGCCGATATGGTGAGTTTTTTCTTTTCTTTCCTTCTGTGTGGATAGAAGATATTGGTGTGATTTTTCATCTCTTTCCTTCTGTGTAGATAGTAGATATGGTGTATTTCGTTTTCTTCTCTTCCCGTATGTGTGGAAAGTTGATATGGTTTTTTCATCTTCCTTTCTGTGTGAATAGTAGATATTGGGGTTTTGATGATAAATAAAGTGGGTTTTATCTGCTCTTCCCTTCTGTGTGCATAGTTTATAATATTTGAAGAGAGTGTAAGGGATGTTTTCCATCACGTCCGTGCTTTACGTATATAAAGCGAAGCGGTCATCAGTCGCAATGAGGCATACACCCAGCTGACTGGTTATAATTTAGACAAGTAAAAGTACGCCAAGTAAGCAAAATTTCAACATAGCAATTATTCAAAATTTACACTTTTTGTACCATTAGACTCAATTGTGCAGGTGGCTACCACGATTCTGGCATAGTGACATTTATAGGAATAACTGGATACAATCTGATAATACAGAAACAAGGGAAAGAAAGCTTTATGGGAGGCTTGGCACTTCGCAGAAGACTACCAATATCAAGAGAGGAATCAAACGCTGGACGCAATCGGCTGCCATAGTCTACTTAAATGTTAACTTTTGGAGGATCTGCCTGGGATTTTGTGGGTGCCTTCTTGCTGGTGGCTTTTTTTCAGGTTGGATCCTGATGGCATGATGCCACTGCCTTATGGGACGGGGATCGGGGGATGGTTGTTGCCTGCCGTTGGGTTCGGGGTGCTGGGGTAGCCGTCTTGGGGGATTCGTCTACCTTTTGGGTTGCGGTTGGGGCAGGTGGGCGGGTGCAGTGAGGTGAGGCGGTTTTTTGGGTGAGTGCGGTGGGGTGGGGCTGCGACCAGGAAGACTGGTTTGCTGGTCTGTGGTTTGGGGGGGATATCGTGCGTCCAAATTGCCACAATAGCGGGACAAGATTCTATAAGGCCCAGGAAGAGTCGAAGCACCCTCTTAAATGGACTGTCGCCGACCATGGGCCACAACCAGCCCCGAAGGCACACATTGCAATAGGCGACTTAAACAAATTGACTTGACTTGAATCGCGAAGCACAGTGCAGAGGCGACTATAATTCTTCAGTCAGTCAGTCTGGATACCAGCGTTGACTAGTCAACTCATTTGAAAATGGAAAGACAGTTGGTATTAGATGGTGGGTGCAGCCTAAGTGGTGGAAACGCTTGAACATGAATGGTGGTATACAGTTATCAAAGACTTTGTGATAAGTCAAGTCACCAGCCTGAAAGTAGCCAGGGATATAGTGAAAGGCGTGATATAGGAAGAAGTGGAGAAATGTATTTGTCCCAATTTGGAGTAGTGCGTATTCAGGTCAGCCTCTTGCAACATTTTTGCCATGGTCCTGCCCTATTGGCGTCAGCCACTTGCAACATTGTTGACAATGTCCAGTACCATAACGTCTCCCATCTCCAATTCTTCTTGACACTAGACAAGCCCAATCCATTGACCCAATACATTCCCAATGTTAAATTCCCCATATTAAATTCCCATAGACTTAAAAGTGCCGTGAGATCTTGTTTAATGGATTTTCCATAGACCCTAAATTGCCTCCCTTCCTTCACTACTGGCATTATTTGAGTGGAAACATTTCATTGGATTATTCAGTGGCAATAGAAAGTGCTCATTGGACTAATATTATTCTGAGACTATTGTGAAGTATTCAAAGGAGTTATGGACTATGCCATTTTGACACGTCAGGACTGTTGGTTGATCTGTATATTAGCGAATAAAAAATTTATACGGAACATTTCATTCTTTTGGATTTAATAGAAATTTTTCATGATTTTTTTCGAATTTAATTCATATTATTGTATGTTCCCCTTAATTTTTTTTTTAAACGTGACAATCAGATTGTTACAAAACATGCTTGTGGTACTTCTTTTTGTTACTTAGTTTATGAATATCGAATTGTAACACTGTTAATTTATCACAAAGTGTGTATTCTGTGTAGACTCTTCGTCATTTTTCTCGGATATGCGAAGAGTATCAACTAAATGAAAGTAGCTTTTAAAGACATTAAGATAGCCCTCTCTTCGTTTATTCTGGGCCAGACTCTGTAAACTAGTACACTGACACCTGCATTTAAGATAGCCATCTCCTCGTTTGTTCTGAGCACACTGTGTAAACTAGCACATTGACGCCTGCTCTAAGATGGACCTGACACCTGCTCCAAGATGGCCTTTCTTCTAGTTTATATCTGGGGCACACTCTGTGTAAACTAAACATCACTATAAACAAATAACAAGCACACAGCTTTTAACAATGATAGAGCATGCCTTATTTTGCACAGTACGACTCGGCCTATTCTACAGTAGCATTCTAACTCCAAAACCAATATTTGACCAATTTATCTCAGTTTCTTTAAGAGTGGAGCTGAACAAGACTTGATTTTGGTACTATTTTTTGATCTATGGAATTAGGGAAATATTGTAACACTGTTTGTAGCCTTAGACGTGTGCTGCAAAACATGACATCTGTTAAATTTGCTTCTGCAGCCACTTGACAATAAATACTAGCCTTTGATAAAATTTATGAATGAAAACAGTTGCTCATGAACAATTCTGGCATAAAATGTATCCTTGTCTTAAATAAACTTCAAGTTAAACTTGTATTTTTTTCTCCTTGTCCTATAATGCCGCAAAAACTAACAGAACCAAAATTGCTCTCTCTCTCTCTCTCTCTCTCTCTCTCTCTCTCTCTCTCTCTCTCTCTCTCTCTCTCTCTCTCTCTCTCTCTCTCTCTCTCTCTGGAAATATTCATTCTTGGGATTTTGGTGGTGGTTATCGTACGTATTTTTGAAAATTTAATTTCGTGTGCAAGCTATATCTAGCCGTCACACTTGAACATAGAAACAAAAAAGTTCACTAAGATAATCATTCAACAGTTGAGGATAGGTATTTTTTTTATTATCCTAGGCTCTCTCATCATCACCCATAGTCATTGCTGAACATTATGTTTTTACATCTCGTTGCGTCGCCACTTTGGTATTGTGCTTTTTGTGATTTTCAAATAAATTTTCCACGTCACCTGGATTTATATGTAGATCTCTTGCCTCCACCTTTATATCTTCCTTAAATGGTTGAAGAAGCAATACGCTTGATAACGTCAAATGTTTTGGACGCGGTCATCCTTCATTTCCATTTTTATTTCGTCGTAAACAAAATTAGTTCTTAAAACGTGGGCACGTATTTTTCCATATAAGGAAACGTTGGATATTTTTTTTATCTAACTTCGGTAAGGTTAAGTAAACATTTTATTATTACGCGCTCATTGTTTTTCTCCGTTAACTTTCCATTGTCAGAATCGTCAGTATTTCCCGATATTGCACACCTTCATGTTGCACCTCACGTGCAAGACACGTGCCCAACAGTATATTACGAACTACTATGTAAACAAATAATGTACACTCGTGTGGTAGAATCTCTACGTTTATCTTGATTAAATTTGTTTCTGAATGAACTATGATAAAGCAGATGTTTCATGGACTTCAACATATCTTTTAGCTTTGGCACATTCCGCGTTAACTTATTTGATACAATGTTTCAGATTTAGGCTAGCTATTGACGCTAGACCGGGTTCTCAAAATAACACGCAAGATACAAGACATACACTGCCTTCTTTAGCTGGTAAAAAGTCAAAAATATACTTACAATTTTACATCCTGAGTTTCATCAAAATATGCTTTCGTAGTTCTGCAAATCCAAATTACATGAGCCATGTCATGGGTTCTCACAGTTAATTACACGTTTCGAAACTGTAATGTAATTTCCAGTACATTCCAAGTGCACTTTCATCCTCCTTACTGAACTCAAAATGAAATGAACATTAAATTCCACTGCATCTTTTTGATAATTACAATTGAAGAACTTCTTAATTTTCCCATATTATGGTCTGAATCATTCAGTGACAACAGAAACACGCATGCCGATGTTAACACACTTCAAATTGGCAGATGCTGGTGGTATCCGATGAAAGTTACTTCATGCAGATAAATCTAGGCCATAATCACAAGTTGCGTCGAATCGACAAAAATACCAAAACGTAATAATTCCAGATCAAATGGAAAAGTTGTTGCAATGCGTATTCATTAACATTATCACTCCAAGCTTAAATTTTAAGTAGATCAAACTACATTTTCTTTCGAAACGTTCGTCTAGCGCGCGACCAACTTAAAATTTGTCTGCGCGGAGTTACGTGCGCATTAATAATGTTGTTTAGTAGTACAGATACGCTTGTATATTTAGTTTGGAATACGACATGCATTCTGTTACTATCTATCTATCTATCTATCTATCTATCTATCTATCTATCTATCTATCTATCTATCTATATATATATATATATATATATATATATATATATATATATATATATATATATATAAGCCTTAGGAAGAATAAGAAAATGAGCATGTAATAAAAAGGTTATTGCATTTGTATGGGAAAATATTAACTCGTTTAGTCGGATGGACCTTCGTCGTGCAGTATAACCATCCGAAAAACTCGTTCATATTTTGCCATACAAATGCAGTAAATATTGTCAGAGCTGACCTCAGTATAGCTCATCTATTTGCTAAATGTGACGTAACGCATCGCTTTCTTGGCGTACTTATAGGTTACCAAATGCACTTTATCCCCATGTACCGCTGTCCGTCGAGTACATTTTTTATTCGTCAAGTATTATTCTGATTTTAAATTACCCTTGTCGCTCGCTGGTCCATTCTGTCGGTCGTTTCCCACATATGACTGCTAATTAGAGAACTTTCTACAATGATCTCAATACCGGTATCTAAATTTCTATTTCAGAATAGATCTATTGGTCTTGTATTGGAATTACCCATTCTATAGTCTATTTCAGAATGGATCCATTGGTCTTTGATTGGTAATACTAATTATATAACCGCTCCGGTGGCCTAGTGGTTAGGGCGTCCGCCTCGGATGTAGGAGGTCCAGTGTTTGAACCCCTGCCGAGTGATACCAAAGACGTTTTTAAAAAAATGGTACTAACAGCTGCCTCGCTTGGCGCTCAGCATTAAGAGGCCAGTGTTAGGACTGGTTGGCCTGGTGTTAGGATATTGTGACTGGGTGGGACATCATGCCACATGTCTGCGGCATGATGCCCCAGTGCTAGACATCACTATAAACTTTCACAATGCAGACATCGTAGCGATATGACTGAAAAATTGTTAAAGCTAGGTTAAGAATCTAAATCACACACACACATACACACACACACACACACACACAATACACACACACTAATTATATAGTCTATTTCATTATGAATCTCTTGGTCTTATATTGGTATTACTAATTTTTTATGTATATCGATATGAATCTCTTTAAAAGAAAACAAAAGAAGCATATGATGAAGGGAACGCAGTCGAAAAACGCAGTTTGAAACGCTCATCACACCCAATTTGGGCCATAGTTGTACCAAAATTCGTTTCCATCGTAGGTCCTAAATGGTTAAATTAGGTTGATCCAACGTTATTTAGCTCATTGGAAGTTATTGGGCCATCTTGTCTTGAAATACGGGGTCGGGGTCGGGGTCAGGGTCGGGGTCGAATGAGGTGGAGTGGAGGGGTTAGCGCCAGGCATAGTGATCCATAATTCCCATAAAAAGTTTATTTATTGTTATGGGTCGCCAACAATTTTGCAATCGGGAAGGGGCATAATTTCTTACTGCTTTCGTTTGACTGAACATTTTGGTAAAACGATCACATTATTGGCTAGTCATGAAACGGAAAAAACCGGTGTGATTAATTAGCAGTGGTCTAAACGGTTTATTGTGTTGTGTTTACTTAAAATTTTATCTTCACGAACGATTCGATCTTTTGATAATAATCCTGCAAGTCAATCCAATTAAATGAATTAAAAGCACCTGACCGACATTAGTATCCATTTATGAACTCATTAAATGTCAGAAGCAGTTTTTTTTAACATGTAATTGTTTATAAAGAGGATAAACTTCCACGTCCGATGCTGCGTTCAAAGCGAAAACTACGCTAATTAGAGTTCCGCTCTACAATTTCGTACTTTACATAGAATGTGATTTTTAAAGAAAAATACTTGTCCAAAATTTCCTCACTAGTTATTCTTGTATATTTTAGATATTGTTAATAGAACTTTTAATTACTTAATATTTGTGAATGATTGATGGGCGTTATTTTATGTTTAAGCGTATCTAGTTTGACCTTAATTCGGATGTGCTAGCTCCGCTTCGCCATTTTCACTTCCTGGACTTCAAAAACATTTTTTAAACATCTTTTTTAATACATATTTGTATTTGCTTCCTTGCACTTTCATAAGCTTCGATTGTCTAATGTACCGAAATTAGTGTACTTTTGGACTAGCTCAGGCTGATTGTTTTGAGCATGTTAGAGCAGGCTGATTGTTTTGAGCATGTTAGAGCAGCAATTTTGATTAGCCATTTCCTAGAACATGCACAGTTTTCATAACTACAGCATGTAAAAAAATTGCAGACACAGTACATGCAAGTAGCATAGAAGTATGACATCATTCTCGCAAATGGAAAGAACTTCACCTTACATCTGTCACTCAGACCGAATTACGTAGAGCTCAACATAAAGAACTGTCTTTTTTCATATGTAAAGTTTAAATGTATGCTATAATCACTTTCGAAGTAAATGTGAAGCAATGGGACAGTTAACTATGTGGATAAAGCAACTTTGATAAATTATTTTTGCACGGAGATTAAAAAAGTTTCAGAGAAGAAAAATTCTTGTGAAAGTGGAGAGGGAGAACCTAAGACTACCATGTAGTGTGAGGTAACTATTTTTCTAAACAGACGTAAGCCAGACTATAGCAACCTAAAATGTCAAATATGACACTAAAGTAAACTCAGTCATTCTCTGCTGCATGGGTTGATAGTTATCCCTGGCTTTAATTCACTAACACAGAATGAAGAATAGTTTTTTTGTTTTTTTTTTTTAAAAATGGCACAGTTTGGAAATTCAACCAGTATATTTGATAACATTATCCCGAGTTAGAGTTCAAGACACGTCACTATGAACTGGATTCTCGGACGTTGTTACGAATAAAATTAAAAAAGACAGAGCCCTGTTTAAAACATCCAGTTACGTAAATCTTTGTCTGCTGTAGAAATACAGAAAATTTTTATCTGATGTAGAAATACTGAAATCTTTGTAGGGAAAATTTTTATCTGATGTAGAAATACGGGAAATCTTTATCTGATTTAGAAATACGGAAAATCTTTATACGGAAAATCTTTATTCGGAAAATTTTTATCTGCTGTGGAAATACGGATAATCTTTATCTGATATAGAAATACGAAAAATCTTTATCTGATGAAAAAATACGGAAAATCTTTATCTGATATAGAATTATGGAATATCTTTATACGGAAAATTTTTATAAGATATAGAAATGCTGTGCGCACTCAGGAAAAAAACGGTATTGAACTTGGTGTTAATGACATATGAGCAGACAGGGCCAAATACATCGTTTTGTAATCGATCAAATCATGAGAAGAGAAGTTAAGGAAATTTTTAATTCCAATAAATTTCTTTTCATTCGTCCTGCCGGAAGAGTACTAAAATTGCCATATCAAAACAAGAAATAGTGCATATTGTTACTGATATCTGTATGATATGTTATTTTATAACATTGTTTATATTTTAGACATTTTGGGTTAGTGACATATTTTTAGTTATTTAATTCTGTGGCTGACCTTTACTATAGGAGGATGATATGTATGTATTATCCATCAATAAATCAAGATTATTGCCAAGTTCACGTGAACAACTATTTAGGCCATAGTACGCCACGAAATAGTTGAATGAGGGTCATGTTAATATCACGTGATCCGAGGAGTACATATGTGCTGTAGAATGTCATACATGCCCTAGTTGATGAATGGCTCAATAACAATAAGAAAAGGTCAGATAATAAATGTTAAAGATATTTCGGAATACAGGAAAATTTAAATATCTGTGATCTTTTCTAGTGATTCAGAATCTTTGTATGCATGTGGGGTGGCTATGTAAAGGAATTAAATACTAGGATACTATTTATATTTTGGAAATTTGAAACCTTGTTGGATTTTCGCTAGCCTTGTTACATAGTGTAAGCTCCAAGGACTTAACAATATAGGATACCTGGACAATGGAAAATTGAAATTTCTAATATAGCACAGATTATAATTTCAACTTATGTTTCTGAAAAAATGAATTATTTTAAAAATAAACATATTGGGTTTTTTTTTTTGTTTGTTCTATGGAATAAAGTAAACTTTTTTTTATAAAATTTTGACAAGTGTTTAAACTTTTTAAGCATGTGAATAAGTAAGTAAGACAAGTTAATGTTCTGATGAACTTGACCTGGATAATTGGATAAAAACAGACTTCTATGCCGTATTTTTATTCAAATATTGAACAAGGTATACCATAGAATGGCTTTCAACTTCCCATGGAAACCTATGGAATCTTATTCACCACGATCATAATGTTCTGTCCTTTTATACAACTTGGATACATTTTAATTTCCCATACCATGGGGTACTGTACACTAAGGTCAGAACGTAACCACTTTTGACGTATGTACTTGTATAGTTTTAAATTTATTTTTAATTTCCCGGGAGGATCATAATCCTTGGGCCAGAATGTACTATTTTGTGACATGTTGCCCTTTTAAAAACGTATCGCTCTATGTTTATTTTTTATGAGGTCTAATCCACCATGATCAGAAGTTTGCATCCCAACCTTTACTACTTCATATTTTTGGAGAGGTTTCATTTCTAATAGGGTCCAATGTTGTAGAAAGCAATATCTGTGTTATTAGAAATATAGCAATATGCTGTCATTTATTTCAGTTTCCAAAAGGATGCAATGCCCTTTAGTTTTACTATACTTTTATTCGTAGGTGTTATGTGCAGCTGTACCAGATTGTTACCTGATTGTTTACATTCTTTATTAGTTCCATTTCTTTTACCTCAACCTAATATTTCCCACTAGGTCTTTTAGCTATAGTTAGACACGATAAAGGCTTCGTTAGTATTTCCTATGTACAAATTCTTTATCCAGAGGAATATAAACACATTGTATTTTTCCGCAACTTTTCTCACATGTCCATACTCCTCATATTCTATATCCAGTGTTATACAAAAGTCCTTTCACCTTCTCTACAAGTAGTTGGTAATGTCCACAGTTGCATCTAAGTTTCTTATTTCAGTAGGAATATGTTGGTACTGTACTGATATCATAACTTTCTGTGTCTTACTTTTCCTCATTATGTCCATAAATGAACAGTTTATTATACTTCTTTTGTACTTGCTTTTTGCCTTACATAATGGGCTCCAGCACTTTAACCGTGTCTCACTTAGAACGTGGACTCCAAAGTTACTATAAATATGTCTCACTTGGAACGTAGACTCAAAAGTAACTATAAATATGTCTCACTTGAAACGTAGACTACAACGTAACTATAAAAATGCATCACTTGGAACGTGGACTCCAGCATAACTATAAATATGCCTCACTTAAAACGTTGAATCCAGCATAATTATAATAATGTCTCACTTGGAATTTCAGCATAAGTTCAGTAATGTCAGTTGATTATACTTCTGTTCGTATTTGCTATTTGACTTGCAGAATGATTGCTTCATTAAGTAATTTTATGTTCTCCAGCATTCCAGTTCCATAGAATTTAAGCTCTGACACCATTTACTGTTCGCCACCCATTCACAAAACCAGAACAGTCAAAATCTCTCATCTAAAACATAGTTGTTTCCAGCATAACTTCAATAATGCCTGACTTGAAATATGGACTCCAGAATACCATCTCACTTGGAAACGCGGACTCCAACGTAACTATAAATATGTCTCACTTGGAAACGTAGACTCCAACATAACTATAAATATATCTCACTTGGAAACGTAGACTCCAATGTAACTATAAATGTCTCACTTGGAAAGGTAGACACCTACGTAACTA